TTATTTTCACAAAAATTTGAAGAGGCAAAGAGTTGCTCCAAACAAAAATGGGAAATAATAAACGGTATAATGAATAGAAAACCAAACAATCTTGAAATTAATAAGCTAAAAGTTGACGACAAAATCATCGAAGACCCAGAGGAAATAAGTATTCTTTTCAATGAATACTTCATCAATGTCACAGAGAAGCTGTTAGAAAATCAAATAGTTACTGAAGATAAATTAAAAATAAATAGTGCAATCTGTAAATCAATGTATATGAACTCCACCAATGAAGAAGAAGTAACGTACATTGTTCAAAACTTAAGCAACAAAAAAAGCACGTCAGATGATACTTTAAGTAACAATCTACTTAAAAAAATCATCCCAGAAATTGTCATCCCAATCACTCATATTTACAATCTTTCCATCGTCCAAGGAATATTTCCACAATGCTTCAAAACATCCAGAGTAGTTCCAATTCACAAAAAGGGGAGCAAATTAGAGACAAGTAATTATCGACCAATATCTCTACTTTCTCCACTTTCTAAAGTACTAGAAAAAATAATTTTTGTCAGAGTCACCTCATTTCTCTCCATAAATAAATTATTAAATGATAATCAATATGGCTACAGAGCACAGCATTCAACTGAGCAAGCTGTGCTGCAATTAGCACAAAATGTTATGAATAATCTTAACGAAAAGATACTGACTGTAGGTGTATTCATAGACCTCTCAAAGGCCTTTGACGTCATCAACCACGATATACTGATTAAAAAATTAAATTCACATGGAATAAGAGGAAAAGTAAGTGCATGGTTCAAAAGTTATTTGGAGAACAGAGACCAGTATGTGGTAATAAAAAGTCACTCCTCAACAAAACTTAACGTAAGATCAGGCGTGCCACAAGGATCAATTTTAGGTCCTCTTCTATTCATAATCTTCATGAACGATTTTCAACATGCAACTGATGCAAATCACCTTCTATATGCAGATGACACTAACATCTTCTTCCCAACTAAAGACCCATTGAAAGAAGTAGAATACATCAATAACAGTCTTCAAAATATATCAACCTGGTTTATCAAAAATAAATTAATAGTAAATTATTCTAAATGTAATTACATTATTTTTGGTCCGAAAATTTTAACAAATATTATACCTAACCTAGACATAAAAATGAACAATATTTCTATTCCTCGCTCAACCAGCACAAAATTCCTTGGAGTAACAATCAAGGACAATCTTTCTTGGGATATTCACATAGATACTATGTCTAAAAGAATATGCAAAACCCTAGGAGTTATAAGCAAAATTAAAAATAAATTAAATAAACCTACTCTAATTGACCTGTATTATTCGTTAATCTTTCCTCACCTCATCTACTGCAACGTAATTTGGGGAAACAGTCCTGACATTCATCTAAAACAGTTAACAAAATGCCAAAACCGATTCATCAGAATATTTAAAAATCTTCATCCTCATTGTCACACAAGTGAATATTATCTCGAGATGAAAATACTCAACATCAAAAAC